TGTTCGTTTGTGCTCATATTTTGGATTATTTTCTTTATATACAAAGCCTTTTTTCTAACATTTCTCCTAAAAGTATGCAATAAAAATTGGCTATAGTAAACAGTTTAAAATTTTCTATTTGATATTTCTGCTTAATACGAACTAGATTTTAAAAGTGTCAGTTTTTTATTCATTTTGTAGTTTATTTTTGTAAGTGTGTATAATTAACTAAACTAGAGGAGGTACACTTAACTATTTTTAATTGAATATTGTTTTGCCATATTTAGAGGTGATTAAATTTTGGTGAAGTTTTTACTTTTGCACTTGTATATGAAAAGGACGACGATTGAGCTGCATATTAGGGTGAACTACAAATTTTTAAATTTTTTTTTTTTTTGGATAAACGTTATTTGTTTTCTTTTCTCTCTCACTCAATTGCTTAGACTTGTAATTATATAGTAATGACATAAAAACATTACCGTTTATTCTTTCAGAATTTTTTTTGGCGACGTCACTGATACTTCTTCTATTTTTCGGTTTTTTCATGTTTTTTTTTTTTTTGCTGTACCTACTATAACCAAAACCAATATCGAATTCTTCTAAACCAAAAAAGACAAAAAAAGAAAACAAAAACAAAAAGAAAAGACAAATAAAAATTAAAAGAACAACAAAGAAAATTTTAACGTTAAAATACAAAAAAAGAAGAAAAAAAAAAACAAAAACCTTTGAAAGAAAAAGTTGAAAAGTATTTACGCATGTGTAATGCGGTAACCCGATATCTTTTTATAATTTTTGTTCTTTTTATTTTTATTTTGCTCTTTTTATTGAATAAAAATTTTTTTTGTTTATTTTTGGGGATATTTTCATCAGAATCGCAGCCATCATTATCACAGCACAGCCAAAACCAAGAAAACATATAGGTACAGAGTACAGCCATGCTCCTCTCTTTCCCTATATGTGATGCAAACACACATATGTACATACTTAAATTATAATAATATCCAGCATTAAAAATTATGTGGTACACAAAATATACATTGAGTTATACATAGAAATTACATACATACATACATACGTTCATGTACACTTAAAAATCCCGAAAATAGCACAAAAATATATTTTTTTTGTTTTGTTCTTATTTTCGATCTTATATGATGTTTGGAAAATCATTGAATATTTCATATTAATATAATGTAGATAAAAATATTCATGTAAGTAAATATGTGTGCAATATTTGAATATTTTCATACACAAGTATACACGTATAATGCGTTGCATGTGTTTACAAAAATTTCATATTGAATCACATACAGTCTGCATGAACGTATGTATGTATATATGTATCTGGATGGATGGATATAGTCGCAGTCATATAATATGTCTAAAATATAATGTTATATGATATTTTCATTGTAATGTTTAAAAATATTGGACCAGGAATAATATTTTTTTTTTTAAATAAATTTTTAATATTTGAAAGAAGAAAGAAAATTAAGATGTAAAAATTTAGTGTGTTAGAGTTTATAATTGAAATGACATTAAATAGAGTTTATGAATTATGAAGAAGTAATTACTTAAGTAAAAGGGATTAAGAAATTAATCTAAAAAAATGTAGTCCACTATGCCGCCCATTGTTCGTAAAATAGTACATTTACCTTTAACTTTAACATTTGAATTGTATTGCTAATTAATTTAGTTATAAGGCATAAAGGATACGATTACTCTTAAATATAATACTTTTTATTAAACAGAATTTTGATAGAGTTTATAGAATATTGAAGAAATAGTGGACAACAATATTGATATTTTGCAGTATTTGAGTAATAAAAATTGGGGAGAGAGAGAGAAGTCGCAGAGAAATTGCATTCGATTACAATAAAATGTTCACCAATATCTAGTCAAAATGTCAAAATTTGAGATACATCCGAGTTGTCGTGTAAAGAAGAAAAACTATATCAAAAATCGGTGTTCATTTTATTACTCTTACATTTTCACATTAAGACTTCCATATAAAAGCGGGTTCTATATTTGCAAACTACTTTTAGTGTGTTGCATTCAAAAGATAACATATGTCATTAGGTAAATACCGACGGGATTATAAAGTGAAAAAGTTATAAATTTGCTTTTACAAAAACTTTTCTAACACCAAATGTTTTTATAATAGTAATATAACAATATTAGGTTAATTTAGTATTTTTATTGTATTTCAATAATTATGGCTTAAAGTAGTATAGTTTGAGTATAAAACTTAAGCAGAAATCGTGCCTTGATGCTACTAAACACATTTTTTTAATGCAATGATTACAAGATGTGTGCGTCAACATTATTAGCATGTAAGTGGTTTATATTTCCAATTAGGAAATTTTTTTTTTTTGGAAATTGTAAACAACGAGAACGACCATAATTTTTTATTGCAATTAAGTATCAGTGCTAATACTTTTAAATATAAGATTTCTTCAGTTTCTTAACTGAATTCAAAAAGGTCTTAACTTATAATTATAAATTAATTAATAAGTAATTATAAATTTGCATATATTTAATTATGAAAGTGACCATTTTAATGTTAAGTACAGAAAATTAAATTTAGTTTTGAAGAGCAGATTAATTATGTGTCATTATTTAAAATTTTCGGAAATAAACTTAATATTTATAGGAATTTAAACCGCGTCGGCAAAATTTTTAGTATAAAAGTGCATAATAATTTTTATTTATAAACGAATTGAATTGTTTCTACAATTTCTATATAAAATGTTAAATTTAAGAGTCTTTTAAGAAATTTTATTTATGAAATCATTTGATGAAATAAACAAAATTTATTCATTTAAATTACGCATATATATTTTATTAAATTAAACATGTCATATATCATTCCGTCTTTTTTTAAATCCTTCTATTGCATGTCTCATTTAAAATAAAATAAATCAGAATTATTGGAGCGATTAAAAAACGTATATATATAAGTATAAGTATATAAAACAATAAAATATATTAGTGTCGATTATTTTGAAACAAATTATTTTCACACTTTAAATTTATAATTTATTGTCTATACATACACTTCAAAGGGCATAATAATATAGAAAAATGCTTTGATTAACAAAAAAACAAAAAAAAATATTTAAACTTATAAATTTCTGAATAAAATAATTCTTATGGTCAATATAAAGAAAAAAAAATGAGTGAAAATTCAACTGGGACAGCTTGACAATTATTATATTGATTTACAGCGCGTCTAAAAAGACATAAAATTGTTCTAAACAATTATTTGCTGTATAAATTTTTCCAACATACATACTTGTAAAATCATATGATACGTCCCTGAAAATTAATATTTTATTTGAGAGAAAATGAGCTATTGTTATAAATTGTATGAGTAAATGAGCGTAAATAAGTGCCTAATAATTATAATTAATGAAATTAAGTTTTATATTTGGGGTTTAGTAAATAATATTTACTGTTTACTCAAGTAATTTCGAAAAAAATCAAAAAATTTTAATAAAACGAGAAAGAAATTTTAATTATTTTTATTTATAAAGATTTTTCAAAGTTGAATCTTTAATTTGGATACGGTTTAATAAATCAAAATTGTCAAAATTAAGACTTGATTTAATTAAGGATGAAAAAAATTGAAATTAATTCAAAATATCTTGAATTTATAATGTATGAAAAAATAAATTACTATATACTTATAAATATTATTTATTCGTTCTCAAAATTTTTTGAAAATAAGAATGTATAATAATACTGTGTTGCAAAATTAAGGTCGTAACTATTGGTATAACATTTCTATTAAATGCCCAATTCGAAATTATACACAAAATCGCTATTGAGTTTATTATATTTATTAAGTATACGCAATTTCTATTAAATATTTTTCAATTTTTATTTTAGGTTCTGTTAATGGCAATAGAACAATGAAGTTTCATAATGGCTAGTGGCAAAATGGAATAATATTAAACTGTTATACAATAATGATTTGAAATATTTTTAGAATTAAAAAGTAAATAACACAAATAACATATTAATGGTAAGTATAGTTTGTATTTTATATAAATATATATTATGTACTTAAGTATTCTGTTTGTATATAAATCTATATGATTATTTTTAGGTACATACTTATGGGAGATTTTTCCGTCGGTGAATTTATTGTCGCTAAATTTAGATTGCTTAAAGAATATATAAGAACACCATTTCAAATCCTTCCAAAAATGGAAAACCAGCCTTTATTAAATTGTTAAAGATTTCATTTAATCTCGAATAATCTAGACTAGTAAAAGCAAAATTGCAATCAAAGAAAGTTTTCTATACTAAATTATTAATTAAATATAAGTCAAATATTTGTCAATGATTCAAAACAATAATTATTAAAAATTAATTTATTTATAATTTTCAAAACAGAAATTAGAATTGATATAATGATGAACAATAACTATGTATATATAGAATATTATTTGAGACTTGCACATTTGTATAACAGTATACTTAATTTGTATAGTTTAGTGTTATAATTCATATTTTTAGTATTACTTATAATACTTAGTACATTTTTTAATTAGAATAACTCACAGAGTATGAAAGATTAAATTTTGAATACGAATAAGATTTTATTTTTACTTAAGCATAGTTAGGCAAGAAATTTAATGGAATCCGTATTATTCGATTTTAATGTTTGCTCTCCAAGAAACTTATTACGTAAATTACTATGAAAATGAATTTCTATATTATGATCTTTTCAAAATAAGTATACCTATAAATTTTAAATAGTATTAAGCAAAAAGTGTTCAAATTTCATAATAAATTTGACAATCAAACAATTAAGTGCTCAAATTACAATCTAAGCAATAAATTTTAAGAAATTTTTTTCAATACACTCAAATTAATTAATTAAGAGATCAATTTATTTATGATTTAATTGTATTTTTATATACTTAGTAAATAAATTGATTTAGAATGCATTCATGTTAAGTAATTCTAGCTACTTTACAGAAATTTTATTCAACAGTATAGGAAAAACTCACCTCTTTTCAATAAAATAAATAATATTTGTTGGAAAATTTTGCATGTGTAGTACTTATGTAAATATATTTGTTATGTTATTATTACTTTATTAGTACTTTATGATATTATGATGGAACGAATATTTTCACTATATATATTGAGAATATTTTGATCTTACACTTACTTATGCGTTCATTTAGTTAATTTATTTCACCGTTTTCTTTATTATATAAGTATATTATCCAAAATAAAATAAGTGTAAACGTCAATTTTTCTTTAAGGTTTCCACATTATATTTATATAGGTACATATATGTAATTGTTCACCATATGTGGATACGTTTGTGAGCAAATAAACATTAAATTATATACTCAAATTTTGTTATTAATTGTTTTATTCCAAAAAATTTTTATTATAATTGTTATATTATATGTATATGTACACTATGATTTATAATTAAACACACACACGTTCTATATTAACAATTTAATTTCATTTAATGTAATTATAACAGTATTATGTACGTATATATAAAATATTTAAAAATATTGCAGAAAATCTAAATTTGTACAAATAGTAAGTATATATAATGTGCGTCGGTCTATTTTGATTATTGAACAAAAATTTGTTATTAATTCATCATTAATAGTATATGTGAGTATGTATGTAGTTACTAAAATTCATTATTATTAATATACTGATATTATGTACACAATGTATATTTTGAAAAACCGAAAAAAAAAACAAATAATAATCATAAATTCATAACAATAAATTATAAAAATAAATAAAGTAGTAAAATTGAAAATAACGCAGTTTTTTCCCCCGTGTAGCTCAGGAGATCGATATATAAATTATTTAGCAATAACAAACGACTATTCAATGACAATTTGTTTTTACTTACAATTTTTTTTCAATTAAATTTTAATAAAATTATTGTTTTTACACGCACTTAAATTTTCTTAATAGGCAGGTTACCTATACGCAATAATTTTTATAAAAACAAACAATTAGAGTTGTCGTTTCACAATAATAATAGAAAAATAATAACAGCAGTAAATGAATGTCAAAATCCAAACAAAAAAAAAAGTAAAATAATGCGTTTTAAATAATTAATTTATAATTAAGTAAAAACATATACACAATAGAGATATGACGGTACGGTGCACATTTACAGAGATATAAACGCGGTTTGAGTACAAATTTCCTTTTAAATGTCAAAATATCCTTATAATTTATAAGTACTTTTATTTGTATTTTTTAAAAAATTCATTTATGTTGCTATTTTGTTTTCTTGCATATTTTTCTGAAAGAGAAATAAAAAATCACAAATATTTTCTCATTTTGATTCTATATAGAAAAAATTTTTCTTTATGACGTAATCATTTCATTCTTAAATAGAATTTTTACAAATTATTTTTGTTGTACATAGTATATGAGAATATGAAAATGTCATCGAATAGCTATTTTTTTTTATTATTATTTTGCTGTTCCGTTATTGTATTTTAAAGACAAAAGTAAGTTATTAAAAATATTTTTATTTTCAAATTTTTTAATTTTATATTTATTTTACATATTTTATTTAATTATATTCACGTTTTCATATAATATATGAAATTATTACACACTTTTATATTTTTTGTTTCTTTTTCAACCCGAAATTATTTTTGTTACTACATGCTAGATTCTAATTTTTTTTCATTCTCATATATAAAAAAATGCCAAAAAAAAATTTTTTTTATTCGAATTTCCACACCAAATGTTCCGTTTTATGTTCTTCATATAATTATATTAGAAATATATACACACATTTACATATATATATTATTTACGTATAGTTTGAAAAAAAAATTTTTAACGAAAAAAAAAATAAATATTTTCAAAAATTTTTTTCTTCCTTCTCTCTGTTATTTCTATTTATCCGACCTCACGCCAAGAGACAAAACGATAAACTGAAAAAAAAAGTATTAAATTTTGTGATGAAACCAAATACGATCAGGAATAAAATTTCATTCAAATTAAAAAAAACAACAACAATAACAATAATAACATGTAATAGTGGAAACAGAAATATGTATAATAAAAGTATATTAATAAAATAACAACAACGATAACAGTAAACAACAACAACAGAACATAATTTAGAAAACATAAAAAACATAAGAACTGTAAAAAAAAAGATTACGTACAACAACAAACCAACCACAAACAACAGTCAGTACAGCGTCATTAAAAATTGTATATGTAAAAAGAAGAAAATAAGGGCACAGACGATTTGGTTTTTTTTATATTTATTATAAAAGAGATAATGATATACAGTAAAAACACACAGACATTCACACACTTATAAAGTTTATTTTAAAATTATAGAATATAGAGGAAAGGAGTATTCATTTTTTAGTGTACCTGTATAAAAAAATAACAGTATAGAATTTATTATTGTGTTATGCTGTTAAATAATATTTTGACAGAAATATTGAAGTGTGCGTGTGTAAAAGTAAACAAAATAATGTACGTTATTATTTATTAATATACCGCACGTATAAATGCAATACACACATTCTTGCAAATTATCTATGTATTTGAAATTTTTATTAAAATAAAGTTTTGAATAGTTTGCGTTTTCTGTAAACTTTTATAAGTTCCCTATTAAAAATTTAATATTATAAAAATAAACTATGTACATATGTATTTCTGTACAAATATTTGGCGTATACAAACATAATTCAAGAATAGCATAAAAATATATTGGCATGACACTAATCCATACATAAATACAGGTTTGATGGTATTTTTGATTTTTGTATTCAATTTAAAAAAATAAACAAATTTTCCTTAGAGAAGAAAATTATTAATGCACTTTTTATTATAATTTGAAATTTTTAAATACATTTATAGTAAACTGATGTGATGTTTACACAATTTTAAGGTTGTATTTGTACCTTCAATTAATATGAATGGAACAATTTTGAAAAATAAGAAAGGACGTAATGATATTAATAAGGATAAAATTCATACTATTTAAAAGAGTAAATGTTCGGGCGTTTTATGTGTATATTCCATTTCCATCCTAATTTATTGTATCTGGAGTTACCTTACACGAAGTATATGTAGATAACAGGTAAAAATGAAAAGCATTTTTTGTTGAAAGTTCACTAATTGTTGAGGAATGAAAAAAAGGAGAAAATCGAACCAGTTCGTTGAAATTTTTAATCATTTACACAAGGTTTCAAAATTTTGATTTATAAATGAAATTTCACTCTATAAGATTATAGAAAATATCGAACATGACAAATTTTTAAATTTTACAAATTTTCAATGAACCTGTAACGGAAATGTAATTCAAATTTGATTTTACAAAGCTACTATACTCCAAAACCACTGAAGTTTATTCGATACTCTAAATTTAATCCAAATGGGGATCACAATGACAAAAAGTAAGGCGCAAAAAAGAAATTTGCAAGGTGCTATAGTATACCGTAATAATATGCTTTTAATTTCTGTTAATTCGAAAATTTCAAATTATTTTTACTCTCCTTTTAAATAATCAATTGTGTTGTTCTTTCAGTTGACCGGACATACCGTTATTTGTAATTGTTGTTGAAATTATTAATAATTCAGTTGGATTAAAAAAATTTTAATAGTAATTTTTCTGTTAAAACGAATTGGAAGTACTATTTTTATTTTTGCAAGTACTAATTTTTATTTTAACAGTAAAATTGTTAAAGTAAAAATTAAAATTATATGTTAATTAACGTGCATATAGCAATGTATACAGAATTTAAACATAATTTTAATTGCAAATGATACCTACACAGTGGTTGCAAAATGCTTGCATGCATAATAAAATATATTTCACCATTGTCATTATATCATGATTGTGTTGAAAACACACTCAAATATAATTCAATACTATGTACATATACACATAGAGAATTGTATTTGAATTCACTCACAGATTTCAGTACATCGTATGCGTTATAAAACCACACCCATATTATTTCTGTGTTCGGACTGTACATGATCTTCAATATTAATACAAAATGGGTGTAACTGTAAATCATGAATGTGTGCTATTAAATTTTATGCATGTGTAGTTAAAATTTATTAATTTTCTTTTTCTTTTAATATTTTGAAATTGCTTTTACCACACCATACCTTTTTTTTCAAAAAAAAAAAAAAAAAAGAATGTTAAAATGACAATTGCGATTGGTTGAAATCTAGTTAAATAATAATAATGATGATAATAACGGTTAAAAATGAAGTTTGAATTTATAATATGAATTGTTATTGGAGCTATTTGATTGGTCAAAAATTCTAATATCAAAAACAATAACAAAATTAATTTACCATTATTACCATAAGCAAAGAAAAATATTTAAAATGAAAAATCTAAATGAAAATTTTTAAGGTAAAGTTTTTTGAAAAGTGTAGATTTTAAGTGTGTTAGAGAGAGATAGATTGCTTGTATTTAATATAAAATATTAAAAAAGATGCTAAATTAAAAATTTATCTTTTTTATATATATCTTATAATTTTACGGTTATAATTTTCTCGAATAAGATTCTGCGCAATCATTTTTACCTCATTAAATTTTCCTTTTTATATTTTATTAGTTTAATTTTTTGCTACCCTCGTTTTGCCCCCCTCTCTTATAAAAATATTGTGAAATAATAGAAAAAAAAAATAGCAAAAAAAAATAAAAAATAATAAAAAGAGTAAAAAAATTTTTATAGAATCAAATTTTCCTGGGAAATTTTATATTTGGAATAGGTGCGGGACGTGAATAGTTTAGTTCTCATAAAAAGGTAAAAAAAATCCAAGGGAAAAAAAAATGTGATGAGTTTATTTTTTCATTTTTAATAAGCTAGATTTTGTTTTAAACATTAAAGAATAAAGAAAATGAGCGTCTTCATCCGTTTAAAGAAGGTTTTAATGAATCAAAATAGTTTTAACTCACAATTTTAGAAAAGATTTTGATTGCACGTCGAATACATTATTCATAAAATATTTTTCTCACAGATGGCACTAAAATATATACTTAAATATCATACAATAGATGACGGTTCGAGAAAAAAACTTGCTTTATATAAAATTTTTACTATAGATTACGAGATTTGAAAGTTTCTAATGCTCTATGAACTGGGGTAACCCAATTTGCATATTAATGATTTTTAAAGTTTGCTTGCTGTAAAAGTAGTTAGCAACCCAGGCAGGATGGCGCCCTGAATAGCTAAGATGTACCGTATTGCTAACACATTCTCTTAAAAATAAGGTTGTTATTGTGTCCAATAGAGCCTAGTCTTACATATACACATTAGAAAGATTTGATTGGAAGGAGTATTTTTAAAATTTGGAAGAATTTTATAATGTAATTTGTTTTATCAAAGTCTGTTGCTCAACTGCCTTTCTTGTATTCTTAATTTTTGAATTTCTTACTCTCATTTAATTGCAATGCAGTTGCTCAGTGTAATGGTACGTAATATACTACATTTTTGTTATAACTGAAACCAAAATGACACATGCTTAATAAATTTAGTTTTCATTATGGTGGAAAATTTTTTGGTTCTTATTAAATTTTAAAACATTTAAAATTATACTTTCATCATATTAGCTGATGGTGTTCATGCAACAATATTGAACTACAATTCTTTGACTTGACATTCCAGTCTGATATTTCTGATAACATCAAAAAATGTGTTCTACATAATAATAATGCGCTATTAAAAAAAATGGACAATAATTAATTAAAAACATTAAAATATATTTTTATCCCTATGTCGCATCGCATCTGTTTTGGCTCTCCTGATTAAAATCAAATAAAATTTTTTTCATTTTAAGAACCTATGACTTTATGTTGATGCCTTTTTGAAGTTCATTTATGATCTTTTATATATGTATATTTTTTTTATTTTATTATTATAATAAATTATTCTTATTATATTTTGTTTATAAAATAATTTATTTTTATAGTTTTTTTGCTTTTACTTTGCCAACATTATTTAATGTGTATGACTTTTGTTTTTTTTTTTAATTTATTTTTCAGGAAAAATTTTATAACACATAAGAAGTCTAATTAAGTTGAATTATAGCAAACTAAATGGTATAAGTGTTATGTTAAGATCCGTGATAATTTTTGTATTTGAATTGGTATTGGATGTGTTTGAGTTCGACTCCTCATATATGGGATCCTCATATTTAATAATTTTTTTAAAAAAAAGTTAAATAATATTTTCTGGTTTTCTCAGCTAGAATTTGTAATTTTGAACTTGCTTTGGAATAGCTGGCTAACTTGTGCAATGGCAAAGGACCTTGTGGCCGAGGAGGAACGAGAGATCTGCTGGTATTGAGCAGAGGGGATCTCGGTATTGTGGTTGGCATTTTTACTCTGTTTAAATAGAATTCATAAGAAAGACGACAAGGAGGCTATGTATTCCTTAATTGGATGTTTTCCAGGGATGCTCTGCGAGTGCCCCTCTCTAATACGGA